AATAATTCTGTTAATGGAGAAGGGAGGGAGGGAAAATGGGGGGCTTGGAAAATGGGATGGGGCAGGTGGGTCACCCCCATGGTGTGACAATGCTTGGGGTGGCAGGAGCTCAGCGTGGTGTGTGTGACACCACAGGGGACACATCACGACAAGATCTGCAGCACCCTTGGGACCCCCCCACCCAGAATTAGGGGTTGTGGGATGGGGCATGGGGGTCACCCTCATGGTGTGACAATGCTTGGGGTGGCAGGGGCTCAGCGTGGTGTGTGTGACACCACAGGGGACACATCACGACAAGATCTGCAGCACCCTTGGGACCCCCCCCACCCAGAATTAGGGTCCTGACAGGGTCATGTGGGATGGGGGGACACAGCCAGACCTGGGTGGCAGTGGAGGTTGTGTCCTCCCAGGCCATCCCTGCCATCCATCCCGCTCCCCACGCCTCGCCAAAGCTTGAAAGCAATTACTGGGGCTGAAAGAGGGGAGGGAAAGGAAAAGGGGAGGAGGGAAAAAATAATAATAATATAGAAAGAAAAAAAAAAAAAGGAAGCTGAAGGGCGAGAGCAGAGCTGTGTGTGCAGAGAGGAACCTGCCACGGAGCCACCAATTAGAAAGTTTGGAGCCGGAGCTCCCGCTGTGCCGGCTGCATCACGAGGGGAGAGCTGTCAGCTCTAATGAGCGCCGCGGCACAGAAAGCACCGAGCTGCTCCAAACTTGCTGCAAACTCCTGCTTTTAACCCCTTCCTCGCCCAGCTCTGCCAGGGGGCCTGGCTGGAGCGTGGGGACTCCCCCTGAGCTTGAGGGGTCCCCGTGGAAAGGGAAGGTGACGGGAGGGGAGTGGGGTGTCAGATCCCATCGCCTGCGCCCGGCTCAAAATCTCTCCTGGTGCCACAGTGAATATTTCAGCCTCTGCTCAGTGCAGGGAGTAAACAGGCAGGGAGAGCAATTACAGCGATGTGGGAAGGCTGGGGGATGGATGGACCGATGGACAGGGAGCTGCAGAGGGGACAGGACAGTGACACAGGCACGGGGACAAGAGCACCCAGGGCTGCTGTGGGTGGCCCTGCTGGTGGGTGGCAGCTTGGGGGCTCTGGGAATGGCTCTGTGGANCAGGCAGGCAGAGGGGCAGGGCTGGGGCTCTGGGGGCTTTGCTCAGGGATGGGTTTGGCAGCAGGGCCTGGCTCCCTGACGTGTCTGTGCACGCTGGGGCTGGGAGGCTCCCACAGGCAGCAGGGTGAGACTGCTCTGTGCTCCAGAGCCAGCCTGGGAGGCTGAGGCGCCTTCTCTGGGGTGTCTCAGCTTTAATCCTGGGGAACATCTGGCACACGGCCCCTGGGACCCCCCAGCATCACCTTCTGGGGTGTTCCCAGGGTGGCATTTCCCCAGAATCCCTCTCCAAACCATCCTGCTCCTCCAGTGAGGCCCCCCCAGGTTTGTGCCCACCCCAGCAAGGACAGGACCTGGCCTTGTGACATCCCCAGGGCTGGCTGTGTCCCCAGGCTGCTGCTTTGGTGGGTTTGGGGGTGAGGTGATGCCAGGATGTCCCTGGCTCTGTCACTCTGTCACCAGGAGCCTTCCCCTCCCTGAGGAGGAGGAGGGAGGGCAGCGAGGACCAAAGGTGCTGGTGCTTCCTAAAGAAAGCACCTCATAAACACGAGGCAGGAAGGGGAGCAGCCTGGAAATGGCACCTCGTGCCCTCAGGGCTTTCCTCAGAGCGTGGAAGGCACCCTGCCATGGGAACCTGCTCCTCAGGTCCTGCTGGCACCTCCTGCCTGCTCCAGGAACCTCCACGGGGCTTCCCCTGTGCCCGAGGCTGCTCCTGCACCCCCTGGGGCTGCCTGGGGTCGGGCTGAGCGTCCTCCAGCCCGGGTTTGTTTGGGGTGCTGCCACAGCCTGCTTTGCTCAGTCACCTCCGTGCCTCAGTTTCCCTGGTGCTCACCCCGCTTTGGAGCATCCCTGAGCCATTTGCAGGTCAGGGCCGATCCCAGGTGTGGCCTCAGCAGAGGGGGCTGAGCGTTGGGCATGCCCAGGCCCAGCCAAACCGCCGTGTTCTCCTCACAGACACCTCAACACAGAACATGCACTTGATGACCGGAGCACGGCCCAGTGTCGAGTCCAGATGCAAGTGGTACAGCAGCTGGAGATACAGGTGGGTGTCCCCATGGAAACAGGGACAAAAAGCCACCTCTCTGTCACCCTGTGCTCCCCTCAGGAGAGGGTGACAGGGTTAGGGACTAGAACTTGTTTTTAACACCCTTCCCAAAGAGGAATCCTGCCTCCAGGTGAAATTCAAGCCCTCAAACTCATTTTCCTCTTATCCCAAAGTGTCCTTTGGGTAACAGATGTGGAAAATGGGAGGGTTTGTCCCCACATGGGCTGTGCCACCTCTCTGTCACCCTATGCTCCCCTCAGTACAGGGTGACAGCATTGGGGACTGTAGCTTGTTTTTAACACCCTTCCCAGATAGGAATCCTGCATCCAGGTGAAATTCAAGCCCTCAAACTCATTCCCCTCTCATCCCAAAGTGTCCCAGGTGAAATTCAAGCCCTAAAACTCATTTTCCTCTTATCCCAAAGTGTCCTGTGGGTAACAAGAGATGCCACAGATGTGGAAAATGGGAGGGTTTGTCCCCACATGAGCTGTGCCACCTCTCTGTCACCCTGTGCTCCCCTCAGGAGAGGGTGACAGGGTTGGGGATTGTAACCACCCAAGTGGGGACTTGTTTTAAACACTCTTCCCAAACACTTTCCCTGCATCCAGGTGAAATTCAAGCCCTCAAACTCATTCCTGTCTCATCCCAAAGTGTCCTGTGGGTAACAGGAGATGCCACAGATGTGGAAAATGGGAGGGTTTGTCCCCACATGGGCTGTGCCACCTCCCTGGGAGCCACGGGGCTGCTTGAAAACCAGGCCACTTATTTTTTGTGGTCTTTGGAGCCCAACTTTGGGCTGCTATTTTTGGCCAGGCCGTTCTTTAAATAGTGCTTTTGCCAGCCTCTCTGAGCCCCCAGCATGCTCTGAAATAATTCTGTTAATGGAGAAGGGAGGGAGGGAAAA